AAATAAAATTGAATTGAAAATTTAATTGAATTGTATCTAATGATTAATCTTTTATAATATAATCCAATGCTGCCATATTGGAATTATTTCGCTTTTGAGAAACATAGTCTGCTTCCACAAAAAGGCATTGTAACTTCTGCAGAAAAGTGTAATAAATATATATATATATATATATACATACATATACATACACACACACACTAAGCATAAAACTTACTGCTTAATTCTATATTTTTATATTGACAGTGGATCAAATGACCATGTTCATTGTGTTGGACAGCTCCCTATAGTACAATGTCTCCAACAGAGAATTCTGAGAGAACAAGTGGGCATGTCGTTGTTGAGTGTAGCTGCTTCGTACGTTTTTTTTGTCTATATATTGCATTCCACTCTTTTGTTGATACTGCAGATATGTCTAAATACTTGTAATACTGATACTGTGTAAAAACAGTTATCATTATGGATGAGTCCTCCTCCTTCTGCATGCTCTACTCAGATGTCACCCATTGCCTAAACCAAATGGAGTATTTCTAGTGAGAGGGGGCAACTCCATCCATTGTTCATATGAGAAATATGTGCTCTGGTTGATGAGGCAGAGATGCAAAGCAATTGCTTCATTACAGTTGCCAGCTAGAGATAATGGTCAAATTTTAGTCTCCACCACTCAAGAGGAACCGGATTAGGTTTCAATTGGTCTTAAATAAAACACACACAAAAACAATCATTTGATAACTGATTTGGACGTTGATTAACCAAACGTGAAAGCTGCCCTACAGCCCTACAAATCCACCTGTTCATACTATTTACTGTTCAACACGAGTGACTGCCTACACTCTCATGTTGCTATGGATATTTGCGATAACAAGTGCAAAGGCTCTTTTAAGAGTCATGCCGGCATTTTCCTTCAGAACAGATTAACCTATCACCTGCATTCACAAAAGGACTCAAAAAACTCTATGCCCTCCTCACAACTTGTTTTGACACAGACACACAACTAATTCTAACTTAAAGCCCTGCCATGGTCCATCCCCACACAGGTGTTTTATTTATGTTGTCTGCTTAGAGCTCTTCTTACTAAAGTGACTATGGCTAAGGCAAGTCTGAATTCTTTCTGAATTCAGTTTTACAGACTGTTGAAGACAGAAGAGAAGAGAAGAGAAGAATATAAATTATTCTGAAAGAAAAATGTAATACAATCCACATCCACGTGATTTTGATCAGTCTAACACTATCTATAGTGTACATGCATTTTTAGCTGTGATGAGGCTATGGTCTCTGGTAAAATGTGACATCAATGCATACTCTCCATTGTACTCTGGGAATTATGTGAGGTTACCAAACACCATGAGTTAAGTGCTACTGAGTGGAAATGATGACGACTAATAGTGAAACTGAGAAAGTGATCGGGAGTTTTCTTATGAACGTGCCAGGCCATAGATCTCCTACTGAAGTCTCACTTCTGATTGAGAAGTGTGTACCGTATTTTCCGGACTATATATTATTATATATATATATATATTATTATATATTTTCATAGTTTGGCTGGTCCTGCGA